AAGTTTCTTTTTAATTCAGTAAAAATGATTTTTTTTTTTAAAATTACCCTTGTGAATGTCCCATCCCTTCCTTAATTATTCTATTATCTTTGGGACAGTCAGGGCATTTCCAACTTTTTCTTATTATAAATTCTGTTGCAGTTGCCATCTTTTAATCTTTATTTGCATCTTTGTTTATTTACTTGGATGGAATCCTAGAAGTAGAATTACTGGGTCAAAGGGTATGAACATTTTTAACTTGCTTAATATATATTGCCAAGTTGCTTTCCAGAAAGGTTTTTACTCTTGTCTTGGGTGTGCAAGAATCTTAAGACCATTTTTCAAATTCATTACATTTTTTAAAAGCAGCAATCTTCTTCTTAGTTTTTAGACTTTCTTAATGCTGCTGTCTCCCACTGGGACATGTTCTGTTTTGTTAGGGTCTTGGTCCCAGGTGTCCCTATCTATTAATGAGCCTGATAAAGATATCAGTTGCCTCATCTCGTAGGGGACAATTTTACTCTTGACACATTTTTCCAATGATGGGACATCATTGAGATGGGCAGTAGAGTAGATTTTTGGACAGACATATCTCCTAGAGTCTTAATCTCATTCTATGGGAGGCAGTCACTGATTCTGTTTTCACAAGAGCTTGTGTGGTCAACTGGCAAATGTTGGCCAGAGATCTTGGTTTAATTATCATTTAATTCTTTTTCTGCTGCTGGCTAGTGGGTAATGGCCATATAAATTCACTTTCTCAAACTTTAACTTTTATCACAAATTCAATATTTAACATGCTTTAATTTGCAGCATCTACTTAGGAACTTACATACTGAAGAAATGTGGGTCGTATGACAATTCTCTTTTTTCTCTTGTCATTACAATGCATCAGTTATTTTGATTTTCATTTTACAAATTCCAAGAAGGCAGATATAGCAGGAAACAAACAAGAAAAAATGTTTAGCCTAAGTATCATTATATCTTTTAAATTTACAATATTTTGGAATAATGAGAATATTCAGGGTATGTAAGGTTATGGTGATGTAAAGGTTGTTGTTGGTTGTAGTATAAAGAGATAAAATATTTTTAGAAAACAATTTTGATATAGAACTCAAGAATTAAAAATATCATAACCTCTGGTCTAATCATACCCGGCTGTTTTTAGGTATGAGAAGAAACAAGCATGAAAATAAAAATTTTAACATTATTTATAATAATGAAAAATTGGGTGTAATCTGTCTAATCATGGAGAAATGGTTAAGTAAATTATAGTAAATCCAGTCCAGCAATGTTATGCAATCATTACAAATGATTATAGGGTATATAGCAACATGAAACATGTTTGTGATATAATTTAAAAATTTAAAAAGGCCGATTATGTGGCCAGGGGCATGAAAAAGCATGCAAGAGTAAAAATGGTTGGCTAGAGTTTTTAAAAAAATGCCAGCATTGTTATATTGTGATTTTTTTTTTTGCACTAAAAATGGAAAACACTAGGGAAGTTTGGCATATTTTGAAAAGACAGGCTACAGAGGGGGTTAGAAAGAGGACCACTGCTCTTTGTCAGCCTTGAGTTGTGGAGGCTAAGAAGCCCCTAGCTGGGTGGGTTCTTAATGGCAAGGGACTGCAGGAGAGGGCACCACTGGGTGCTGTTATCCAGCACTGGACTTTTTGTCCGAGGGGAAACTCCTGGGACAAACTACTCCATGTTGTCTTTCACCCAGTAGGTTTACGTTGGGGAACTTGGGTTAAAATGAAAGTTAAGATAACACGTGATTTTAGAGGCAGAAAAGGTTAACTATTTTACTGGTGTGTGATAGTTGGAAAGAACATTACAAAGCTTTGCCTTGGTTTTGGTAGGGGAGTTTTGGGGTGACAGTGTGTGCATAGAGGTGTTTTTCCCCCTGAAGTACCAATGGCTAGCATTTCCTTTCTCCCCTTCCCCACACCCCAGTTATCAGTAGAGACCCCTGGGTGGCAGAGTTCATTGTATTAGAGGGGTCACTGAGCAAAAGAGAAGGGACCAGCTGAGACTTGGGTGATGGTGACAGGGTTAAAGAAGCAGAGAGAGAGGGTTTGGGTGGGGGCTGGGGGTAGCATTAAGCACTCCGTAATCTCTTGTTCTCTGTGATGAGGGATATACAGGTGTGATCTGGAACCAAGTGTCAGGGGATCAGGGCCCCGGGTTCATGTTCTGCGCAGCATCTTTTTAGAATGTGGCTTCTGAGTGGGTTGGCGCGTTAAAAGCACGGCTCTGTGCGATGCAGCCGTCCTTCTTCCACCTCCCACTTTCTTCTTGAGCTCGGAGCTCTGTGACTCAGCTGCTTCTCAGGACATCTGAGAAGCTCCCCCAGTGCACCCTCCCCACCCCCCAGGATAGAACCACAGTCAGGAGATACTGAAACCAGAGTTTTTCTTTTTGTTGTCCTTCCATTTGGTACATGTGGGTCTTCTCCCACCCACGCATCTGTTTGAGTGGGAAGACCCTTCAACAAGAGACCATTGGAGAATTGTGGAAAGAGTATTTTCTCGAGTCTGTGACTTGAGGAAAAGGCAGGCACTGTATTAATCCTGAAGACTGAAAAGGGAACATTTGAAAGCCAGAGTTAAGTTGGATGCCAGGTTTTCCAAAGGGCTGAGGCAGTCGGCTTTGTTTTCCCACTGCAGTTTTCCATGCTCTCTCTCAGCAGTGTCAGGAATGGCTGCATTCTGAGACCCCTGGATATACAGTCTCTGGCTCTAGGCTTGCCTCAAGGGAATTTGTCTAGCTTTCTTGGGGGATGAGCTCCCTCATCTTGACCTGACAGCTGTGCAAGCTGTCAGGCTGAGTTTGCCTCTGTATGGGATTCCAATTTTCCCCTCATTCCGGAGGAGGGGGGAGGAGAGGTGTGGGATTGGAGGGAGCTGCATTCTTTCTCAGGAGTACGCCACCCTCCCCATCAGCCAGTGTCTGCCAGAAGGCGGAAATTTCTCCTAACTCCAAGGGTTGTTCCTAGCTCTTGGCTTGTGCCCATCTCTTTCCTTTTCCTGAAGTCACACTTGCTCCACCGTGAAGCTAGAGCTGGCATAGCAGCTTAGCACTAGAGGGAAGAAAGCTATACCAGGGGATCTGGCTGCAGGGACTCTTGACAGATGGGGTACTGCCATGTGTCTCGATGTTTCTTTCCCTACCCCACCCTCATCTGTCCCCCCAATTCCACTATACTGTGATTTCCTTGTGCTGTGCCATTTTTACAAACCTCTTTCCACTCTTTATCCTTTTACTTTCTTTTTCACTGTGCTGTTTTATGTTTGACCTTGCTTTACTCTGTCTCCCATCATTACCCAGTGTATAGTCATGACCTCCGATCAGTCTCCTTTCTCACTGAGTCCTCTTATGCTCACTGGGATCTTGGCGTGGCCCTTACTGAAACCAACGACTCATCATCACTGTTCACTGATTTCTTGAGTGTGTGTGGGGAGTAGGGTGGGAGGGGAAGAGGGCAGCCTGTTAACACTGTAAAGGCCCTTGTGGGGCTCTGAGAGACCTGACCACACCACTGTCACCATCCTTAGGACTATCTTGTGAGACTTGACTCCTCTGGAAGTCAAGTCTGGAAGGCTATGGGTGTGGCTTATCTGCCGGCCCAGGGCAGTCAGTAGGCCCTAAGTCAGCAGGCTCATGGCTTTGTGTGGCTGTGGACTGAGGCCTGAGTGGGAGGAGTCTGTCTTGGAAAATGTGAACGCCATCGGTGTTTTCTGACCATGAGGGTTCCCTGCCCCACTTCTTCCATGTTGTGCGTCCAGGTTGGGTATGACTGGTTCTGGAAGGTATTCAAACACCTTGGGGAGGACACTAGAGCTCCTGCCCTTCTTTTGGCTCTTGAGAGACACTGAAGGAAATCACAAGGAGCAGGGAGACTGGCCCGAAGGTGTGGCTTGTCCCTATATCACCAGAGACTGTTCCGCAATCATTGAAAATGTTCAAGGCATGGGCTTTCTTCTCAGCCCTCATTGTTTGAATTACAAGTTGCCTCTGGATTATAATAACAAGTAAGTGGGGCTAGAACCAAGGGATATAATGTAGCCACACAACCTCTTGAACCCTTCTGACTTAATTCCTTGGTTCCTTTACCCATCTAGAGGGACCAGTATATATGATTGAATTCTTAGCAGAGTTTCTTCCAGATATTTGAATTGAAACAAATCCTTTCTGAAATAGTTTATTTATGTATAAAATTGGGTTATGACCTACTTTACAAGGCTTTTGTAAAGAGAAACCATAATATCCAGTGTTTATGAAGTGCTTAATGTGTGCCAAGCACATAATCCTCACCAAAATCTTCTGAAGTGTAGGTACTGTTATTATCCCCATCTTGCAGATGCAGAAACTGAAGCACAAGCAGATTTGTAATTATGCAGTAAGTAGCTAGAACTGGAATATGAACTCAGGTCTCTGCCCCAAAGTCTAGTCTTATATCCTCTGTGTAGGATGTGTGGAAAGTTGTCTTCTCCCCTGCCCGACACATAAAAGAACTTCAGGAAAGTTAGCTGGATACGTTTGTGGACTTTGATGACCATAGAAAAGGATCACTTGAGGGCCCTCCCTGTTGACTCAGTGGGTTAAAGGGCCGCCCTATGAAGCTGTCAGCAGCCACTGCAGCCCAAGTTTGATCGCCGGCCAGGGAGCTGATCCACATAGCCCAGCTGCGCCCCTCAGCAGTGTATTTTCAGCCAGTCTGCCTGTTCTGTTCCCCACTGTGTCTTTGGTGAATCTTCTTACCCCCCACATCTCTGGCCTGTACCTCAGTTCTTGTATGCATAAATAAATAAATATTTTTCTAAGAAAGAACAGGATCACTTGAGGTTTCCAGGGTCTGACTGAGGTGGAAAATTTGGTGCTCAGGGAGGGAAGCTGATAAGAGACACAACCAGCCCATCTCCTTGCAGGGGGCACAAAAGCCAGAGCTGGGGAACTGCAGATCAAAGGCAGTCCTGCTTCTCCCTCCTCCTCACCAGCACTGTCTCTTCCTGCCCTGCAGGGTGATGTGAGAGAGCCCAGGAATGCCTTATGTGGATCGGCAGAACCGCATCTGTGGGTTTCTGGACATCGAGGAGCATGAGAACAGCGGCAAGTTTCTGCGGAGATACTTTATTCTGGATACCCAGGCCAACTGCCTTCTCTGGTACATGGACAACCCCCAGGTGAGTAATTCTGTGGAAGATGGCAGGGCAACTGACTGCCTATCACCGTCTGGCAGGAAAATACACACACACTGCTCCACACCCCATCTGGCATGGGCAGCACCAACCTTCTGGTCAGTAAAGTGGGGAAAAAACACACACACATTTGAAACCAGGGAAAACTTACACACACACACACACACACACACACACACACACACACACACACACACACGAAACCATTCCAAATCTTAGATTGAAGAGAAAGAAGTTCATCTCTCCTTGCTCTGGGGAGCTGCTGTCTTTTCTCACACTCAAGAATTTAATACTTGCAAAAGTTAGGCAGAGGCTGCCTAGGCTGGATCTAGACTCCAGGCCAAGCTTGCTTCCTCTCAGCTCTCGTTAGGGCTGTGGCTTCGTGGCCAGTCCTGCTCTTCCAGTCTGGGGCCCTCCTCAGCAGAGAATGTGACCTGGTTCTCCCTGCTGGACACATGTTGGACTTCGTTGTTCTTTGCACCTGAGATTCAAAACCCTGGATTGGAGGTGACCTCGGAGGTCACCTACTTTTGCTTTTGCTACTTTTCCTCATGCTATAGATGAACAAAAAAAGGGAACATTAAACAATGGAATTGACTTTGGCAGAGATGCAGTCAGAAATAGGGCATTGCTGGCATTTTGTCAAGCACAGACCTAAACCCCCCACCACCACTAAGCCCCCCACCACGTTTTATTGCTGTGTCTGGGGATCTCTGGAGTTGTCTGTGGTCTGGAAAAAAGTTAATCTACCCCCTGATGGTTTCCCCCTGGCACTGTGAATGCTGTTGGCTCTTTTCCTCCCACTGCTTTAGAGTGGTTTGGTGTGATGAGCCCCAAACACGGGTGTGACCACTAAAAGGTAAGATCAGTTTCTGAAAGGCTAGATTATGGGTCATGGTCATTGTGGTGGAGAGAGAGGTGGGACTGACAGCTGGCTGTGGTTCAGAGACTTGTGAAGGGGAAAGTCTGAGTGTTAGAATCGTGGAGTTGTGCTACAATGTGGTAAGTGGAAAAAGTGATCCTCTGAATACCTTTGACCTTTGTCCTCTCATTTTGATGGGTGAGAAAAAACTTTATAGACATAGAAGACGTACTCAGGTCAGCTGCTGCTAATCACCTTTTCCAGGAAAGACTTAACCCTAAATAGAACTGTGCCCCAAGTTTCACTTTACTTTCCTGATAAACTCTCTGTTGATTACTTTCATTTAAAGTCCTGAGTCTGCAGAACAAACCCTCCATGTGGACATGAAATCCTTCTCTGAGCCTGGAATGTTTAGCTAAACCTGGAGCCTTATTAATGGTGGGGTCCTGAGGTTGCCTGTGGTGTGGCACTTTACCTGCTTTTGTTCTGCATAGATGGCCACAACTGGGTCAGTGGATCCCATTGTGTAAGGCAGTAGCCCTTGAAATACTCCTCCCAGTGTTGAAGGAAACTTCGGTAAAGCCATTGTTGTCAGGAGACTTGTTTTCTGGAATGGCAGGGGTGAGTCCCTGGTGACTTAGGATCTTTGGGTCTTTTTTTCCCCACTCACCTGCTGTATGACATACTCAGGTCATTTGAATGAATTTTTGTTCTTATTTACCTGCTCAGCACTATGCTTTCTATCAGGGCCATTCTTGAGCTAACATCTACTTGTGAGGGACTCCTGTAGCTGTTGCCAGCTACCTGCCCCGAGAGTTGGGCTCTTCCTACCATGGGTCACAGACTGGGGCTGCTGTTTGTGAAAGGCCACATGTGACCACGGTATCACCATCTCAGGTCTTTTTCATTAACTTTTTCCCGATTGATAAAAATTTTTTTTTTTGTTTTCTTCATCCTTTTTCTTTTTCAATGTTTAAAAATTTTAAAATTGATTTATTTTAAGTAAAGCAATTTTTCCTATTGAAAATCTTGAATGTTGCTGGTCATCACGTCAGGATTTCCTTTGTTCTTTCCTGCCCTAATTTGACGATCCCTTTGTCCCCCTAAACCCTTCCTAACTTTCAGTGCTGCTCCTGGAGTTGCTTCTCTGGAGCAGAGTCTGGAGCAGGATGTGCCCAGGGCAGCCTCCCATGTTTCTTGCCAACTGAGCTCTCAGGGTGCTTTTTGTGTTACAGTCTTTTTTGAGTCTGGGAACTTGTGGCCTCCTCTGGAGATTCTTTCATTTTCCCTGGAAGCAGAGATTTCAGCTGGGTTGACGATACCATGTCTTGCTGTGACATGACAGTAATTCCGAATGTTCATTTCTTCAGTTATTGGCTTAGCTTTTCATTGTGTTAATGGTCAAACAGCCATTGTAGGCTTGAGAGTGAATATTTTTGTAAGTTGTAAAATGCTATTAATGAACATTTGTTGCTGTGTGCTGCACACTGTTGTAAATACTTAGTTGGGTTTTCAAATCATCTTGATAACCATTTTAATTGGCAGGTATTATTGTCCTCATTCTAAAGGTGAAGTGGGTGAGGTAGACAGGGCAAGAAATTTGCCCATGGTTACATAATAAGAAAGTGGCAGAGCCAGGAGTCTAACTTAGGCAGGGTGATTCCAATTTCCCTGCTATTACTGCTGATAACAGACTGTCATCTTAATGTTGCTTGGGAGGAAAGAAAGTCTCTGATTAAGAAGGAGAAGCCAGAGAATTTTGGGTTGGGAGGTCCCAGTGGTCAGGAAATGTTTATGGTATCTCCAGCATTTGATAAATGTAACGAGTGAATAAGCAAACTAAAGAGGACCAGGAACTATCATCTAAAAAAAGGCAAGAAACAACCAGTGTTGGAGAGGATGTGGAGAGAAGGGGACCCTTGTACACTGTTGGTGGGGTTATCAGTTTTTTTAAGATTTATTTAATCATCCAAGAACTGGGGTACAGGCCAAAGGTGTGGGAGGTGAGCGATTTCACCAGAGACAGAGTAGGGAGCAGAACAGGCAGATAGATGAAGTACACTGCTGAGGGGAGCAGTGGGCGGGTCAGGAGAGGTCTGCCGCGCCATGTGGGTCAGCTCCCTGGCTGGAGATCAAGCTCATCCTGCAGTGGCTGCAGAGATCTTCATAGTGCTGCACCATTATGGAATGTAGTATAGAGATTTTCAAAAAATTAAAAATGGACATTTTCTACAATGTCATTGTCCTGTTTATTCATATTCTTTGCTTGAAGAAAAACACTAATTTGAAGAAATATGTGCCCCACCATGTTCATAGCAGCATTATTCACAGTAGCCAGGTATTAGAAAAAGCCAATGTGCCCAATGACAGATGAGAAAGAGATGGTCTCTATATAAAATGGAGTGTTTCACAGCTCTGATAAAAGGTAGAATCCTGATACTCACAGCAACATGGGTCAACCTAGAGGTTTTTCTGCTTAGTGAAATACAGGTCAAGCAGAGAAAGACAAATACTGAATGATTTCACTTATATGTGGTATATAAAGAAACTAAACAAATGAATAAGCAAAACAAAATAAAAGCAAACTTGCAGTCTCTAGACCAGATGGTGGTTACCAGAAGGGAAAGGAGAAAGTGGGTGGGTAGATTAGGTTAGAGGCATCAATTGTATGATGAAGGACAGTACAGAATTGAACTGTTAGTGATGAAAATATAATGTAGTATATATTTGTGTTAATTTTTAAGGATGCACACCTGAAACTTTATAATGTTACAATGCAATGTAAAGTCAAAAAGATTATTATTATTATTTTTTAAAGATTTATTTATTTATGCTATGGAGCTGGGATACAGGTCAGAGGTGTGGTGGGTGAGAGGATTCCCAGAGACAGAGGAAGGAGCAGAACAAGCAGATCTACTGAAATACACTGTTGAGGGGAGTAGCGGGTGGGTCAGGAGACGTCTGCCAAGCCATGTGGGTCAACTCCCTGGCCGGGGATCGAACTCGTGCTGCAGTGGCTTTGGAGAGCTTCATAATACAGTGCTTTAATCTATTTGTTGTGCCACCAAGGAGAGTCCCAAAAAAGATTATTTTAAGAAAGGGACAGGGAAAGAGGCTATCAGAAGAGGGGCCTCTCTGAAATTTGGAGGGCCCCACCCACTCTCCCGGTTTTGGAGATTGGCTCTCAGCTGCACAGAATCTCTGTGTAGGGGGCAAAGCAGAGCCCTAGGAATCAGAAGATGCACCAGAGGTGGTCTCCCAGAGCAAACTGGGGGATCTGGATCTGTCCTCGGGGAGCAGTAATGGGAACTGTGTCCTGTCACAAAACATCTTTCTTAGGGAAGAGACACCTGATAGGACATCTCAGTTTCTTCATCAGCATTAATAAGCAGGTGTTTTTCTTTTTCTGGGTCTCTGATCTTTGCCTATTTAATCTACTTAGTTGGTGTTTATGGAGTCTGTTTTGACTATTGCTATTACTGCTATTACTAACTGCAGGTTATACTTCCTATGTCATGGCCTCACACCAGCCATGATGTAAAATGCTTTCCATGTAGTATCTCTTTAGTTCTCTCAGTAACCCTCGGCACCAGGTCTGTTAGGATGCCTGCAGTACTCTGGCAAGGTGCAGAGCGGCTCCATGATGATGTTCAAGGCAGCACAGGTGCCATGTGTGGTGCTGGAGCCAGGTCTCCCTGACCCCAGAATCTGTCCTGTTTCTTCCTCCTGCACCTGTCTGCTCAGGGCCGTGTGGACGCTGTGGGCCATGTGGAAGGTGAACTTAAGCTTCTTTGCTACCAGGATGCTTCTGAATTAGTTTGGAGATAAAAAGCACATACAAAACTATCCTGATAACATCCCCGGCTCATCTTTATGGCAAGACAGTACTTTAAAGTTCGGTGACCCAGGTGCCAGTGTTTTGGCTAATAGAGAAAGGGTTGTTGTAGTATTCTGTTCCTGCCCGCTGGAGAAGATGCTGGGCCTGAAAGAAGAGCCTCAGCTGGAAATTGCTCAAGCCTGGGAGACAAGAGATCAAGAGTCAGACTCTGGGTCTGCCACTCATTTCTTTTCTATGTTAGACAGATGATTCATCTCTGTGGACTTTAGACACTGCAGGTGATCC